AACCACACTCTCAACAACCTTCGCCGCAAAGCGAAGGTTGGAGACCGGGCGATAGTTAGCCAACTCATCTGGGTCCAGGGAAGGCTTCTTGAGGAGGGGCCTCACCACGGCCTCCTTTAAGGCCGCCGGGAAGACACCCTCCTGCAAAGAAGCGTTGACAATTCCCTGGAACCAGGCTCGTGTCCCCTCCCGAGCTGCCTTGCAGAGATAAAGTGGTTAAATTGTCAGAGAAACTGAGCCAGCGAGTTACCAAATGCTAGTTGATTCACTGTAGCCCACTACAGCATGACAGCCCAATGCCTTTGCATGGGATTTGATTTCTTGACGAACTTCCGCCCACCAGGCATCCCGTGTTTCCGGGTCATCTGAAAGATACAGAGCACATCCCGTTTACTATTCAGCAGAGATGCAAAATATTCAGCTAAAGCAAAGACGTTAACGAAACACCGGTTAACTTGTTTAAGCTAGTACAAGACCTCAGCAACATCTCGTTTCTTCTTCCAGCCAATTAAGGCAACTGTGGCTACTTCGGTGGAATGGCGATTTCACAAAGTTAGTCCATTTCTCTTTAATTCTCAGAGAATACAAGAACTCAAGGATGTGATTTCTATACTTAACACGTTTTGCTCAAAACACCATTACAGGTAATCCTTGACTTGCAATCACAACTGAGCCCAAAATTTTCACTGCTAAGCGAGACACTCGTTAAGTGAGTTTTGCCCCATTTTGTGACTTTTCTTGCCACAGTTGTGAAGTGAATCACTGCAGTTGTGAAATTAGGGACACGATGGTCAAGTGAATCCAGCTTCCCCATTGATTTTGCTTGTCAGAAGGTTGTAAAAGTGATCACATGACCCCAGGACACTAAATAAGAGTCAGTTGCCATCTGAATTTTGTTCACATGACCGTGGGGAAGCTGCAACGGTTGTATGAAAAATGGTCCTAAGTCACTTTTTTCAATGCTGTTGTAACCCTGAACAGTCACTAAATGAATGGTTGTAGTCAAGGACTACCTGTATTAAGGTAAACCAGGGGTAGGCAACCATGGCTCTTTTATGACTCGTGGACTTCAACTCCCAGAATTCCTGAGCCATGCTCAGGAATTCTGGGAGTTGAAGTCCACGAGTCATAAAAGAGCCAAGGTTGCCTACCCTTGAGCTAAACCTTCCAAGCAACACACCAAAGGTATCTCTGACTATGAAAAAAAAATGACAGCATCTCCAACATTTGCAGTCAGCAAATCTTAATATTAAAGACCTACTGGTCACAACATGTGTCCCTTGGATCACCTTTTTAAAAAAAGCACCTTGAGGAGATTAGATTGTAAGAGAAATTAGCTTAAGAGTTTGGATGTTCTGAATAACAATTTAACTTTGTCAAGATTAAAAAGCAGAGTGAAATTTAGAGATTTAAAAACAACTAAACCATATTGCCCACTTGATGGGAAAAAAAGTTTTAAAAACTCTCTGGGCAAACTAACATTCTTGCATGGGCCTAAATAATTAATTGTCCTTGTTTTTGTATTTTTAACTGATTTGACAAATACCAACACCACCCCCACCAAAAGACTTATGAGATATTCTGTTTATACTTTTAACCTCACGAGGGAAAAAAATACTGAGTTGTTAGGTTAATGCTGAATAGGCTCTACCGCTTATTCTTGGAAAATATCTTGTCAATTAAAATACATTTCATAGATACATTAAAATATATATTCAAAGTATTTTTAAAAACTAATAATGTTATAACAATAACTCAATTATAAGTTGCCACATTAAAGGCGAATCATGTTGAATTAGCTTCGTATTAGAATTTCAAACCTGACCTTTAACATTTTCAAAAACGTACATGGAAGCACTTTTTCAATATTTGCAAAAATATATCAAGTAGGGGGGTTTCAGAATAATTTTTGATTGTTTAAATATCCTATATATGAACTTGCAGTGATATTGGAGGAAACTGATTGTAATTTCCTGAGATTATGGAGATCTACACGACCCAAACCTGTTTTTAAATTATTAAGAAAAATCAGTAGTTTAATAGAGGACTTCCTAGCCTAGAAAAAATAATTTATGCAGCCAAACCTAAATTGCACGATGAAATATGATTTAGATGGGACTTGGGTGTTTCTCTTCTCAAAACACATTTCTAAAGAGATCACCAGATTGCACAAAATTCCTAAATGAAAATTCATTGTTTCACTCACTCCACAATTACATCATACGCCCAAATTTATTTTAACCGTCTTGAGAGTAATCTTTTTTTTTCTTTTAGAAGAATATTTTTGAAATACAAAGCAGTACTTTAGATCTTATAAGAGACTGGTATTTGAGGGCATATATTTGTGTGTCAAGTCAGAATATACTTAAATGTACTCAGTGTTAATGTGAAAGGTTTTTTAGAGATTTTAGAAAATGACATGTAGTTTTAACCTACTTCAGATTATTAAAACTATGTCAATTTTATAAAGGACACATCTGACAGAACAAGATAAAAGGTTTTTATAGTGCATTTGCTTAATGCTTCAAAGCAAAGTGAGGCAGGTAACCGACCTGACTCATAATTTTTCTCTCTCCAGGTTTAACAACCTGTAACTGATAATTTTAGTTGATAAAATATGGTTTTGATCAATTTTTATCTAACAAACTCCCTGTTATCTTTTGCAATATGATTGTCTTTACTGTTTTAATATTTTTATGATCATTATCATCAGAACTGGATATTTTAATATTAGTTTCTGAATTAGGTATATACTCAATCATAAATGATTATACTTAGTGTAATTAGTGTAATTACATCATAATAGATAAGTGAAATTTGATCCCTGGAATTGCTTATATCCTAAACTGAGGGAATATGCTGTTTACTCAGCAGTGAATCAGATTTTTGGAAGGTTTGATGTTTTGATTTCTTCAGCATTATTTCAACAAATTCACATGTGCATTAACTGAAAATTATGGCATATCAATTTACAACTCAATCAGCTTACATTTAAATTACAATAGTTTACTACAACACCCAGAAGCCCGTATTTTAATGTTTCTTCACTGAATTTGTTTGATTTTGAAATCTGTAAATGATAAAGAATTGGTAGGAATGGCTAGTTACTTAATTTTTGAATGCAAGGCTTATATGTGTAATTGTATTACTGCACACAAACCTCTCTGGACGCAGATGATTAGGCGTCTCACTACCAGCTTATACAAGGAAATATAAGAAACTAAATATAACTTACATAATATCTTACCACAGAAAACTGAATTAGAGTTAACATGTTTCCATTAAAAATAGTGAGAAAATGGTGAAAACTGACAAGATCTTGACAAACCATGTGAAGTATATATTATGTGTATATAGGTGTATATAGGTGTTTATAGGTGTGTGTGTACACACACACACACTTTTATCTATAGCTGTAGCTATCTTTGTATCTGTAACTATTTCTTTTTGCAAACTCTCTCTTGCTTTGTCTCTATATGGCACATATTTAGTTTCTAAAAGTATTGTCTAAAGTTTTAAACAGAGATGTGTGAATAAATGTTCAGAGCTATTAGAGTATACGCAAAAAAATAAATCAAGTGTTCAAAAGAATATTTTAGAGAATTCCCAATCAAAGAATTCCCTTTAATAAGAAGCAATGTGGTAAAATCACTGAACAAGAGGTCTTCTACTCCTGTGATTTTACAGTGATAATTCCTTATGAATTCCATTCAAATGTGAATCTTTTCATGTGTTATTTCACAAAAATATTAGTAGCTAACACTGAATTCTGAAAAGTTACTGTAAGACCCAACGGCTGAAAGCCACAAACCTGACAACCTAAGGACAGTATGGTTTTGTGTTTATACCAAGTGGCATGCAGGGCTCCCCAAACCTTGAATGTTATATTCAAGATCCAGTTAAATCATTAAATTGAAAAGTTGAAAGACCCAGGTGGATTTGGGAAAACGAGTCAGCTTCACTCTGTGCTGAAAATGACACGTAAAGAGGGCAACATCTGAAAATAAAATACCTTTGAGATTTAAATATACTCCCTTGGAAATGAACTTTCTTCTGCATGTTGTAAACTTTAATGGACTTTAGCTCCACCCTCCCCCTGCTAATTAATGGGGGGGAATCATCTATATAAATAAAAATGTAAATGTTCGTTTGTTCAAAATCTTAAATCTCCGAAAGTTCTTCACCGATTGCTTTGAAATTTTGACACAACGTTGCATTCGAATACGCGCATGTTTTTATATACCTACTATTATATAGATGTCACACCTGTGACAGGTAAAAACAAGTTTTTAAAAAAACAGCACCATCTGTTGGACGTAAAAGCAACACACGCTACATATTACAAACGTGCGCTTTCTCTTTTCTTTCTTTTCCATTTAACCAGACTGAGCCACAGCAACACGTGGCCGGGTACAGCTAGTGTATAGATATATATATATAGAATGCAATGCATATTTACACACGATAGACACAAACTTACCTTTGCGTGTCTAAAGATAAATAATGACTTAATTAAAAACCAAGACACCACAACATGGCAGGCGTCGTTCATACCAAACACAGGAATGCGATGCAATGTAAAGCATTCTCTTTGGTTTTCGGACACAAGTGATTGGCAAGCAGCTTTTTCTTCCTTTGGGGTTTCGTTACATGAGCCACACAGATTCACAGGGCAACACTATCGGAGCATTTGCACATCGAAGTGAAGCTATGCAATTTACACAGACAGTCCAGAAATTGAGTGGGGGGGGGAAGAGGAGCAGGATGGCATGTGTCCAGCACAGTTCCACAAGGGCATCGTCAACCTGTTGTGTTCCAGGCTACAGCGGAAGCTTAAAGAAGAGCTTGCAAAGCAGAGTCAGCAGACGGAGAGCCAGAAACAGTGGATCGTTTGGCGCATGCTTGGGTCAATGACGGCACAGACTTTAAAAATATGGCAGCTCACTGAAATGGTTACAGAAAGGAATGGCCCTGAAGTCTAGGTGAAAGCAGAAGGCAAGCAAACATGGCACCCACTCACAAGCTTTTCTAGCAAAAAATCTAGTTCACTGAGGAAACCTAGTAGGGGTTGGAGAAGATTTATTAAAATTGTCTGCAAATGAAAGTGGTTGGTTTTTGTTTTTTTTTTATCGGAGGGTCAATTGGTGTTTTTAATCTTACTGCTTGTCTTTAGAAGCTATGGGTGCTCCCTCACTGGAGGCTTTTAAAAGGAGACTGGACAGCCATTTTGTCTGAAATGGTATAGGGCGGGGGTAGGCAACTTTGGCTCTTTTATGACTCGTGGACTTCAACTCCCAGAATTCCTGAGCCAGCCATGTTGAGGGGAAAAGGGAGAGGTTTCCAAGCTGAGCCATGCTGGCTCAGG